GCGAATAGCGAAGGGTTGGAGCCGAGACGCGTCACTGAATGGCGCCCCTCAATCGTGCCCCTTGTCGCGTTGCCTGATCTTGCTAGTCAGACACCGGCCAATCATGCTGAACTCCCGAGTCATACCGCGCTAGTCTTAATTAGTGATTTCGACAACATTGGATGCGCGGGTGCATCTCACACAATACTGTGCCAATTGATCCTCTGCCTCGTTCTTCCAGCAGCTGCTGGCTCTGATATCTAGTGCCCATATTGCGACTCCGTGTGAAGACACGTGATACTTGAAGCTTCAACTCTGTCCACCATGGCTGCTCGACCTGCGGTCCGCCGCGAGCGCGGCAATGTTGATTATTCCGCCATAGGCAAAATGGGCAGGTGAGAAGTGTTTGCGCACTCGGTCGAGAGGCCCAATGCTAACAAACAGACAGACGTACCGGAATCACGCTCGATCACCGACCACTTGACGCAAACGGCATGGAAGAAATCTCGGGCATATTCTCGTCCCCGCGCAAGCCCTCGCCGTTGAAGAATATGACGGTCATGGAGAGTGTGGAGGGACACAGTACCTCAACCGAGTCGCCGCAGAGATCAAGCCCCAGAAGTACGTGCATTCGCCATTGAGAAGTCGCCCATCAGGCCGAGACAAACTCATGTCTTTGTCAAGTGCGACTTATGCGCGCCCAGGTTGAACTAACACCAACATAGGCCCTGGCCCTACTCCTAGTCAGGTGCTGTCGTCTCGTAGGAAGAGTCGCGCAACACCTGTCCCCCTTCCCAGATCATCGTCGCCGAGGAAAAGCGGTATTAGTGGTACCGCAAAAAAGAGTAATAGCGTCGATATATTCTCCACTCGGAAGAGCGTGCAACCTGAGGACGCAGGGGATCACGAAAATGTAGCAGAGCCGACGCCGACTCGGAGCCAGCCACATCTGCCGCCCAGAAAATTCGACCCAAGTCCGCAGAGACCACCACTAAGAGACATTACCACTCCCCGTTCACAGAGAACACTCAAACCGAGACCAAGTCGTGAAATGCAGCGCATCGAAAACGAAGTCTACACGCCTATCGATGAGATAGACTTTGATTCATACATAAAACCAACCGAAGAAACGGAGGTGCCATCGAGCGATGCTGTCGATCTTGTTCCGTCGATTGAGCAAGCAGAAAGCCCTTCCACCCACTGGAACAGACAACTTTCAGCGGAGCCCAGTGATCTTTATGGCGGGTCTGATGACGAAGTAGCTGAACAAGATAAGGAGCCTCAACTGCCCTTATCTGAGTCAACGCCGAACAAAGCAAATTCGAGAAAGAAGCGGAAATCGGATGTACTTGAAGAGGCCGACAAGGCACCATCACCCATACCCAAAAAGGTGCGCAAAAAGCAAGGACGAATTCCCACCCGCAAGGATAGTGCACAACCTACTTCGGCCTTCAACCGGATGTCACCAGAGCCAGACGTAAGGGTAGAAACAAAACAGGCCCTGGCAAACAAGGATACAAATCTTCAATTGACCTCACGACAGCAAAAAGAACTGGATGAGATTGTTGAAAGGGTAAAAGCAAGACCTGGCCCACCAAGGTCACTCTACATTCTACGCAGGGAAACCCCCGCAGACGACAGTGTCCGGCATACCAGAAGCGGCCGTGCCAGTGTCAAGCCCCTGGCGTATTGGCGGAACGAGCGGTGTGTCTATGGCGCCAGTCCAGGTGGTGATAGCCTAGCCGACGGCGCCAGGTTCCCATTGAACAGCATCAAGGAGATTGTGCGGATCGAAGAAGTCGAGCCGAACATTGGAAAGAAGAAATCGAAGGGCAAAAAGAACGCAAAGGGTAAGGGCAAGGCACGGCAAGAATCAGTGGAAGCATCCGACTCCTCTGATTCAGAGTTGAACGTAGACGAGATTCCCGAAGATCCAAACGCCGAGCCATGGGAGACTGGAACCGGCACATTTCGAGGCATTGTCTCTGTTTGGGACAACGAAGGACAAACACCAACAGAAGAGGAAGAGGAAGTTGAAATAGCCCATGCCCCCGCGGCGATCAAGACATGCGAAGTTAAGGGCTCGAGCACGCATGATGGTCCCACGTTCCGCTATGCCAAACTGCTGTCCACGAAATTCTTCGGCACTGGACTCGTGGACCTACCTCCTGGAGGAATAAAACGACCCAAGAACAGTCGGAAAATGCACATGAGTTTCTTTGTCGTCAAAGGAAGGGTCACAGTGACTGTCGGTCCAGCGGGTGGTGAGGAAACGGGGGGCATGAGTCGTTTCAGCATAGGGAAGGGAGGCTTTTGGCAGGTTCCCAGAGGTGAGTTGAGATCCACGACAGATTGGAAGATTATGAGAATTGACCCAGCTGACTTTTCTGGCAACAACCCCAGGCAATCAATATTCGATCGAGAACGAGATGGAAAAGCCAGCCAGGATATTCTTTAGCCAGGGCTGCGAGCCTGCGCCGGCTGGGGAACATGCTCGATCTTGACTGCCTGAAGCTTTGTATTTGGAACGATCCCGACGTCTTCCCTTAGGCCTTTGGGACCAATGATAGCACACTTCAACAGGTCAGATCTAGCGACTGGACTATACTTTCTTTGAGTATGGCCTTGATGCCAAACACGCGGTTCTGGAGATAGACTTGGGAGGTCTCCAGCCACCCACCTGCTGTCCGATAATAATGTGTTGAGTCAGCCAGTACGATGCGTTGCCAGACATGTTGACTTTGTAGCTGGCAACGGGGCTGCGCTCACAAAATCATGCCAGCAAGGGTGGCGGGAAACACTGGCATCTGCTCCCTTGTTTACAATCACGCAGCGCCGGCCTTGTCATTTCTTGATCGCTGTACCCGTTAATCGTCCGCCCAACGACTGCCCCCGCCCCCTTCGTGCTCGTTGTGCTAGGTGGTGGCTCCATCATCCATCCCCACGGAGAGATTCGTGGATGACCAGCGCAGGCCCTCGATGCGATGTTGGGGATGTTCCCTCTCTCCCTCTGGAGTGATTGCGATCCCTGCGCCTTCCTTATCTCTTTGTTGTCCATCTCGAGGACATCGTATTCCTGTCGCGTGATCTCGTGCTGGTATCTTTCATGATGAGCGTTCGGAGCGGCTTGGTCGACAGATCACCCGGGAAGGCCGTTTTCTCTGCCACTAGTCCTGGCCGGCGCTCTTCGTCGTTAACAAACCAACGCTCACCTAGCCTCGATCATGCGTATTCAGATTTCTTCCATGTCCTCGTCTAGCAGATCGTTCAGCGGTGGGAAGTCGCCCACTTCGACCTTCTCTGGCCTGACAAAGACACCGTACTTGTCCGCACACTCAAACACCCTTTTGGTTTCGTGCGCACGCTTACCACCTTCTTCACCCTCGAGCTCGACTTGCACGCGGCCGTCGTTCTTCCCCACTGGCTCATCCAGCTCCACACCGACCCAGAGACACCCTTCCTCCCTCTGTCCCCCCAACCCAGGAATCTCCCCCGTGTACCTCACGGTGCCCCGTCTACCGTCGTCGCGCCCCACCCGACACCTCAAACCCACCATGATGCCACGCGCCTTCATCTCCCTCTCGTCCTTCTCTCTCCTCTCCTCCACCAGCTGTGCCTGGGATTTGGCGTGGGGATCGAAGCGGCCCAGTTTTTGACGGCGCTTCCATGCGAGCACCGAATCCTCCAATTGCTCGTACTGGGTCTCAGGCATTTGATATTTCTCCACGGAGCTGAGGTCCGCGGCCAGAAAGTTGAGGTTCTGCCGCAGCTGCGGGGGCCGCGTGTCCTGAACTTGGATCTCGGAGCCCTTCCTGAGCCCAAACCGGGGCTCCGATAGAAACGAGGAATCACCAGTCAAGGCGATCCAGGTCCCATCTAGAGCATTCGTGCGGAGCATCTGTGACGACGCTGGAATCCCCGTGATGGGCTCCAGTTTCGACTTCAACTGCGAGACCGTCCATGTCGGGGTGATCCGGCGCTCTGCAGAGAGGAGCGGTGGGCCAGTGGGATTGCTATCGTTTGGAACGACTATTTGCATCGCGATGTCGGTTGGGGCCTGGGTTGAGAGGGACATCTTGGGAAAAGTTTGGCCTGTCAGCGTGGTGGATCAACGCTCTTCTCGGGTCACAAGTTTTGTTGTCACGGATATTTTGTATCTGTGCGGTTCTCTGTGTGTTTGCGGGAATGGCACAATTTGTAATAAGGAAAAAGGGCGATGCGCGGAGGAACATCAGGACATGACAATTCCAGGTTTCAAATGACTGGATTTGTTAAATGACAGGGAATATTTCCCTGTTTGCGCCAAGCCTGGGCTGCCCAGAGCATTCGTACTAAACCGCAATGCTGCATTCATTCTCCGAGGATGTCTATGCTGAACGATAGAGTGCCTGGTAAATATCAATCATGGAACTTAATTACTTCAGTCATTCAGAGGTATTAGGTTCCCATGTATCTAAGGGTCCCTTTGTCAGTATGGTACATACCTCGTACACGGACTTGGTCCATCGTTTGGCAACCATTCGCCTTGGCACGCCAAACAAGCGTGTTCCTCAATCTCAATGTTTGGCATTGTTTGCTACCTTGTTTTTCTCTTTGTCCTTTGTATTTTCTGTTGACCAGGTGCTCTGTTTGCTTGCCCCGGCTTTGGAGCATCGTGTTTTAAGCGCCGAGCTTTGAGGGCTGCATAAAGACCCTTCTCTCAACCGCGGGCCATTCCAAGAATCCTTATGAAATGTCTAAATAGCTGTGTTGTTCATCAACAGTATCCAGGCTCCGGTCCAGTTTCTGCGTACTCCCTTTTTCTTATTCAACTCATTCACCCAACATGATGTCGATGGTGCTGGTGAAGGTGCCAGTTCCGGTGTTTGACTGGATCCAACACCTATTCATTTCATTGATACAGCCCGTCCATTCAAAGTGACTTGCGACAGCCCATCGAGCTGCACACCGTTTTCGGGCTTCTAGTGAACAGTCTCAACCTGCCTATCCATGTCTTCCCCAGAGAACAAATCCTGTCTCAATCAGTGGCGGTCGACTTCCACCACCACCTCCTCCTCCTCTGCTACTGGAGCCACATCTTCGTTCGACAGCTCGCGCTCTGCCTGCGGTAGATTTCGACGGAGGATCTTTCCCGAGGGAGATCGTGGGATTTCCTTGACGAATATGACATCTCCTGTGATGTGCTTGTACGAGATGAGCCTGGAAGCGACGAAATCTTTGACATCCTGTTCCATCAATGGTGGTCTGGAATCCCCGCTCGACCGAACCACATATGCCATGGGAAACGTATCCCACAGTCCCAAGTCGTTCGTCCGAATATCGCCAGCAATAGCGACATCTGCAATCTGCGGATGCTGGACGAGGACACTTTCGATCTCGCTTGGCGAGACTTGCCACCCTTTGACCTTCAACGTCTCTTTGATCCTGTCAGAATAGTGCAGGAGGCCTCCCTCAACGGATAAGAGATCGCCAGTGCGGTAAAATCCTTCCCGGTCGAAGGAGTCACGATTGGCTTCTGGATTTCCCAAATAGCCAGAAAACAACGTCGGGGCTTTGATAAACGCTTCTCCAGCCTCGCCTTCTCGGAAAATCAAGTTGCCCTCCGCACCCACCAACTTCATTTGAGCATTTGGCAGCAATCGTCCCACACTCCCCGAAAAGTCCCTCTGCTTCGAACTGCCCAGAGAATGCCAGCCTGCCTCGGTCGTTCCCCAGCATTGGGCAATCACTGCCTCGGGATCCAGAACATCGTACAACTTGTTCTGCACGCTTGCAGGAAGAGCGGCACCGGCGCAGACGACATAACGGAGGCTTTGGAGAAGGGGCACGTCTGAAGCAGGGAGTCTGGTTAGAGCGCCAATGATCGGAGGCGAGACTGGCGTATCGGTGATGGTGAATCTCTGCAGGGCTTGCAAATATTCCGAAAGCGACCACTTTGGCAGGAAGAAGGTGGGCAAACCCAATCGGAGCGGCAAAACCAGGGCCAGGGGTGATGCAAATGCGTGAAAGACAGGTAGACAGATGAGCTGTGATGGCTATGAAGCATGTCAGTGTTATTTCCGCAACCTTTGGAATCTGCATGGTACAGTACTCGATACGGTCTGCGACGGAAGGTAGCTTCCAAGGTTGCAGTCAAGGCCACGATATACCGATGCGAGATCATGGCGGCCTTAGGAAGACCCGTTGTTCCACTCGTCATGGCATACACAGCAATGTCTTCTTGATCAGGCTTACCATCTGCCGCGCGAACGTACCAATCAGTTGCAGGCTCACGCAACAGTGTACGCCAGCTGGCGTAATCTCGACGTCGGACCTGATATGAGGTGTCATGGGATTCGATGACGAAAATTTGGGAATTGGTTTCGCAGTGACTGACTGCTTCAACCATTGGCTCGATGCAGTCCACCTGAGCAAAGATGACCTTGGGCTTTGTGAGGCTGAGCAAATGAATCAATTCATCTTTGGTGTATTTGGGATTGGACCCAACAACACGAGCCCCGGATCCGATTGTCGCCAACCAGATCAGGGGATACCAGATCTATCCTCGACCCCAAGCCGAACCCCTGGTCAGTCCAGTCACACAGCAGCAAGGTGAAGCAGTGGGAATGGCGGCAATAGCCGGTTTGAGCAACGGGACAAAGACTCACGTTGTTAAAGGCATGCAGGCACACGCATTCTCCCTCCTTTAGCCTCAGCGCCCGAAGGCTGTGGATCAGTTGAAGAACGGTCCGAAGAGCTTGCTGGGCCGAGATCCTATTGGATGGATCATTGGCATCGATGAAGATCTGCGAACATAGGTGACAAGGGTCAGCGTCAAACCTAGAAGACTGCCACAGTTCAAGCAGCTTACCGGGCAGCTATTGTCATATTGGCTGAGATTGGCAAAAGCAAAGGTCAAGATGTCAGTGGATGGAATCTGAATAGGTTTTGGACCAGTCCAGACAGGATCGACAGCTTCTGTGGGGTGCTGTTGGGACAGAGACATGGTGTAACGAGGGGCTTGCAGACAGTGAAGACAGGTGTCACAGCTCTATGGACGGTCAGGTAGGACAAAAGATGACAGAAGCACACCTCTGGTGAGCACGAGTGAGAAGCAAAGACGGATAAACTGTAGGAACCTGTGAGATGAGACCGATCCCGCGGTCAGCGAAGCACGAGGCCAGAAGAAAGGGAATTGAGGCTACACCTACAACCTGGAGTGAACAGGCCTTCTAGGGATACGTGACTAGGTGGAGGTGAGTGAAGAGGGTGAAATTTTAGGAAATGTCACTAATTACCATCTGACTGACTGGGTAGACAAGCTGCCCGCAGGGAAGAAGACGAGGTCGACGCCGGGCTCATTATTGTTTATCGTCATCATCGTCTCATTGGGGCTGGTCCACTACAGCAATGCATCTATGGTGGGCAGGAGCATCTGAAATATGAGATGTGGGTGAGAGAAACAACCAGAGTCGCTGCCATGACCCATACGCCACACGCCATACGCCGTCCACCTCCATACCAGGGTTGCTAGATGGGTGGCTCGATATGCAGAGAGATTTTCTGACAGCGGCTCCATTAGTCACCTCCAGCCAGCGGACAGATGCTACTCGTCTCTTGTTGTTCCCTGCTCCTTGCTCACCTTGTGGTCTTCCATCTCTTGCTTGGCCTTGACTTCCCACCTGGCTCTTTTAGCACGAGAATGGTGGAGATACAGAGGCTGCGGGAGGAGCAGGAGGACGAAATGGATGCTGGTAATGGTGGGAACAGTGGCAGTGGCCGTGGCAGTTGGCAGAGAGACATGAGAAATGAGGAGTGAGAAGGAAGGATACAGAATACGACTGCAGACTGCACCAGGGCTACCAGATGCATCAGGACGCAACTCACTCGCTCGGCTCTTGCCACTCATTCTCTTACTGTCCCAATGCAAATCGATATATTGGCAGCAAGTCTATCAATTGGCTACCGACAAGACAGAGCTGCAGTAGCTGGGCCATTCCGCATCCCTGATTAATCGATCCAAACCCGTGGGTCAAATGCTCCTTTGGGATCCTCGATGCATCAGCATGCCTTATCCTTATCCTCTATCCTCGTCCTCGTTTACGCCTTCGTCGCCCCCATTCAAATCCAGTCCTGTGGCAAGCAACAGACACACGCACGCACACGACGAACACACAAACACGAGTTCCCCACGTCTTTGTATTCCTACTGGCATATTCACGTCCTCATCCGGCATACCACACGCAAAACAGCACTTCCCATCAAGCATCTCGCCTTCTGCCGTCTCTCGCCTCTCGCCTCTCCCCCCTCGTGTACCTCACAGACCTTCAATCGGGTCCCTTCTGAGCTCGCCTCGAGTTTCTGTCATCCTTCGGCTTCGGCTGCGTGATTTCTCATTATCCACGTTTTCGAGTCACCACCTGCTCCCCGGTTTTTCATCAACTTCCTTGGCTTCTCAGCTGCTCAGCTGCCTTCACTCCTCGCCGAGTCACTTGCCACTTGATCTTACCGTGACCTGCTCGCCGGATCATCTTCAAAGCCGTATATTCTACCTACCGCGATCCGATCTCGATTCACTTGCTGGGGACTGAAGAAATAAGAACGCACTTTGGCTTGCCATTGATCGCTTCCGCTCGAACCTCCCGCATTGCTATAAGGCTTCCGAATACCTCCCGTCAGATGAGATTACCCAAAGCTATCCCATTGCACACCAGTCACATCTGAACTTTCGGTAACTTGGAAAAACAAACCCGGTGAGTACTCGTCTGTCCCATCCAGTTCACATGGTACAGACTGCCTCACTCTTCACTCGCAATCTTATCACTGGTCAAAACACACAACAATTCCATACTTCACCTACTGTTTGTCCCTTCAGAGTCGTGTCCATTACTCTAACGCGGTCCACGGGCCTGATGTCCTGGCAAGATCGCGTATCACTTATGATCACTTTCTTCCTCATTGTGACCCGTTTGTCTGCCCCCAGCGCTCCCTCGCAAACGCAGTTGCTTAGGTCGCTCCAACGGTTTACTAAGATACCGCATCTAGGCCTTGCACAATGGAAACATCAGCTTCAGCATCCTTTCACACCCTCGAATCTCAAGATCACGATCAAGAACGCTTCCATGTCAACGGAAGGGGGTCCTTAGAAAGCCACATTGTCACTCGGAACCTCTTTGGCAGTTCCAACAAGCTTAACTATCCGACAACACAAGTCGATGGCGCAAATCCCATGGGATTGTCTCTGGGACCTTCGGTGTTGGCGGCGGCTGGTGCTAAGGTCACACAAGATCACACATCCTCCAGATCAGGTTCAGTCATCCTCGAGAAGCAGCCCGTACCCGAGATAAAGATGCCTGACAAAAAATACACCCGCTTCCTGCGTAACCTACGGTGGACCATTTTCTCCGTGTATCGCCGCCTCAACACGCTTGCCGTGACTGCCAATGTCATAGTCATCATTGTTCTCGCTACACAGCATAAACTCCTCTCCATGTCACCGGAATGGGCTGCGACTGCTGTGTCCATCAATCTGACTGTGGGGGTTCTGGTTCGACAAGAATTGGTCATCAATGCGCTCTTCTGGACCTTTGGCCAATGTCCCCAATGGTTCCCACTGCGTTTGCGCCGATTAGCAGCAAAGATATATCACCTGGGCGGTCTACATAGCGGTGCAGGAATCTCAGCAGCTGTGTGGTTTGCCTTTTTCAACGTGTCGACTGTCAGAGCACTGCAATCTGGAGCATTGCGTCGACACCAGAACAGCATTCCGATCATCACCGTCATCCTTGATGTGCTCTTGATTTCCATAATCACTATGGCCCATCCCGGCATACGCGCGAGAATGCATAACCAGTTTGAGCTAGTCCATCGCTTTGCCGGCTGGACGGCCGTGGGATTGTTTTGGGCCGAATTCGGTCTCTTAACAGACGCAAGAGTCCACGATAGCTCTTTCAACATCCCAGCGCAACAACTTGTCTTCGAAAGCCCCGTCTTTTGGACACTTGTGATTGCCACCATTTCGATTGCATTACCGTGGGTATGGCTACGAAAAGTCTCGGTGAATGCAGAGCCATTGTCAGATCATGCTATACGTCTCCACTTTACATATACAAACTTGCCCCTCTGTGCTGCTCCACGACTATCAGACAGTCCGCTTCTCGAATGGCATGCATTTGCTGGTATTCCAGGAGAAGACGGACGCGGCTTCTCGGTCCTTGTATCCAGGGCTGGTGACTGGACTTCTCGGTTGATCAGATCACCGCCAACAAAACTCTGGGTGCGTGGCATCCCGACGATGGGCGTGCTTCATGTGGCTCCAATCTTCAAGAAGATGGTTCTGGTCGCCACCGGCTCTGGAATTGGTCCCATCATGTCGCTGCTACATAAGAGGGATATCTCGTGTCGGATACTTTGGTCTACCCCTGATCCCGAGGTCACATACTCGAAGCGCGTCATCGACGTTGTTCGTCGTGCTGATCCAGAAGCCATCATTATCAACACCACCATCTCTGGAAGGCCCAACCTCGTCAAACAGACATACGAGTTGTTTGTTATGTCCGGTGCGGAAGCGGTCTTCGTCATATCCAATCCAAAAGTAACGAGGAGGGTGGTTTATGACCTGGAGAGTCGGGGAGTTCCTATTTTCGCTCCCATATTCGACTCATAAGAACCCACAACGACCACAACCGGTCCTGGTTTCTGACAAAACCACCAGAGCTGAGAGTCTTGCATATATGGGAGATGTTGTGTTTCGGGATCATGTCGAATTCTTGTCTGGCGTCTCAGAGGGTAGCGGTGTCTTTTTACGGGAGTGGCCCACTTGTTGCGGATACATAACCGCTGTCCGATCATTTGTAACGGTCGTCAAACGAGCGTGTCGCAGCCTAGGGGCTTCCGGACTTATTTCTTTTCGTCTTTTTGTCATCATGAACTCTCGGGTCTGGACTTTTCGGAACACATTCAACTCTATGCCATGGGTATACATAGCCCAGGCGAGGCTGGCACAAAGCATTTTATGGCAACATCGCGCCAGAGGTCTCATGGGCATCGATAGAAGCTAACTGGCAAACATGACATGCTGCAAATGATAGAGTATGTATCAAAGATGCAAGTCTCCTTTCGGAAGTTTCAAATGATGAATTATTATGCCATTGTTCTCCATGATCTGCTGTCTCTGGAATCATGACCTTTGCTTGTAATTCTCGAAAAGTGTAAATCACGACATGGCAGTCCAGGGGACTCCTACGAGCCTCGAATCTGAGACAACACGCTGCGACATTGAGGTTGACACGCTTAACCATTTGGGAAGATCTGATCAGCGAACACAATCATGTTGGCCGGCAACGAGGAAGAGATGGTCTCTCGGTCGAGTTTTCTTACAGATAGATAGATATCCCTCTTCTGCGATCGCGTCTTTTGAGACCGTGAGCAGCTCAGTCAGTACATGAACCTACTACCTACAACAACAGGAAACACCAGGCAGGCAGGCAGGCAGGCAGGCAGGACAGGTCGGTCTACCGGCTCCTATCCCTATCTTCTATTGCGGTGGTCACGGCTCACACGATTCAAGACTTTGCCAAAAAGGAAAAAAAGGGATCGCTTTCCAGTTTTTGTCTTCTTCTCTGACTCCAATTGCAGCTCGACCATTTTTGTATGTTGCCCGATCTTGTACTGACTGACTCGAGTATATTTGACCCCTCCTCCGCCATCTTTTGGATGCTACAGAGGCAAAAGACTAGGTGGTGGTGTTGAGGTTTTTGTCTCCTCGCAAGCCCACCCTGAATGTTACGTCAAAACCTCATCAGAAAACCTCCAAGTGAGATTCTAGATCGTGCTGAATTCCGCGACTGAATCATCAAAACGACTCGCACGTAATGTTCCCGACCATATGATAATCCTCTGAATAGCATTGACTGAGCAGCAAGAGACCGACCTCTTCGATGCATCTGGCACGGCATTGTATTTCGTGCTCTATCAATGTTTGCGTATTCGATGCGTGCAGCTCACGCGCAGCACAGATGTGGCCAGGCTACACCTTGGGGGGATGGCCTGCCCTTATTGCTGCCCGGGCTGCCTAGGACGGCTCTCCAATTTCTTTCCCGGAGGCTTGTAGACCCGATCGAATGCCTGTTTGTGCGTCTGTCCCATGGCCACGCGGGTCTTGCTCGCATTGATATCGGTCTTGGAGATGCCCGCGCCGTGCCAAAGAAATCTCTCAAAGAACCGAATATCCTCTTGAGCTTTGTGGTACATAGTCTCGTATACATTGAGGCGCTTCTTGCGCGGACGAGGCGCAGTTTCGGGTCCTTCGTCGGACGAGTCCTCCAGCTTGATTATCATGCGAGGGCCGCGCAACGGTAGTGCAGCATCTGGCGACAACGGAGATGGTTCGATGGCTCTTCTGTCAACCTTGTTCTTTTTCTTCTTCTTCGATGGTGAAGGGTCTTCTGTGCTGGCTGTTTCTTCCTTGTAACCTCCAATCGGCGTTTCGCCATCCAAGCTCTTTCGCTTTCTTGACGCCTGAACAACATTCTCCGATGATATTTCTGCCCTTCTCTCTCTTTTGTTCATCGAGGGTGTCTGAGGATTATGTTCGGTGGTGGTGGCTTCTTGCTTGAAAACATCGGATAATAATGGCATGGACGTGTTGGGCGAGACTTCTGGCCCTAAGCGAGGCTTTCTTCGCCTTGATTGAGAGTTAGATTCATCGGATCTCATCCATTTTCGAGCTGCATTGCTTGTCGGAGTAGGAATGGCAGCAGAGGACTCTTGTTGCGGGCCTATGCCTACAGCATGCTGACCCGTGAACCGATATTCCCTCCCTAAGAAGCTGATCAGACCAGCGAAAAACCGATCCACAACGGTCCCCAACTCTGGAAAGTATCGAGCAGGTATGATGGAGGCCAACAAGTGGCATTTTGCCGTAACACCCCGGGATCTCTTTAGAGCACTTCGCCGAAGATCACTTGGGCATGTCGCATTGACAACTTTCAAAGCTTCGTGTAAGACAAACTTGTCCCACATTGGAACTCCTGCATGTTCGCTTTTAACCTGTGGCAGAAGTCTACCGACTTGTCGAAGATGGTCTGTAATTAAGGCATGATTCTCAGGAAACGACATAAAATCGAGAACATCGGTGCCAACTTGAATGCGAGGTATTGCGGGTACCCTCATTGCGCGAGGTGCTGTGGGGAGAGGTCTTTCTGGCAACTGCTGCTTGATGCGATCGATCATGACTGCTGAGGTATTTCGCGTAGTGACATTTGAGAGGACGAGGTTTTCTGCGGGTGTGGCAGACGCGGGCGCCGCTGGTCTGCTGGTTTTGGGCTTGGAGGGTAACTCCATAATTGGGACACAGATGAAGCACCGTTGAGGGACTGGACGCGTTGGATGAGCTCTCGTTCGGGGTCGACCTAGGTAAAGACGAGAAGGGCACATTGATACAGAACAAAATGAAGGGGGGGCTGGAAATCAATAAGGCAGCAGATGTTGCAGTTGAACTTGATCTGACCGCTCAGAAGGATTGTGCTCATATGACAGGCCAGTGCCATGTGCCAAGTGGCATGCAGCAGGGAGCAGTTAAAAGTGAGGAGGCCGTTAGTCTGCCACCATCGTGAAGTACGGCATAGCGATCACTTGGATGGCCTGCGGTCATTGACTAACATGTCGGTTTAGGTCGTCCGCCCTTGTCATAGAGGTGCCGTCCCGTAACCTGGAGGTCAAATTGTGTCCATGTTCAACAGGCCTTCAATACAAGTGTCTTCCAATACTGGCAGTTCAATCATTCATCTGCGAAGACCCAACGTCCGCCCTTGAGCGCCTCTTGATACCGCTTCTCGACCTCGTCCCTCTGTCTCTGCCGTGCCTGTTCCTGAATCTCTTGTTGCTCCTGTGTGGAAGGAATATCGACATCCCAAAATCCTGGAGGCGTAGACGGTGGCGCAAAGTTTGCTCTGTGCATCCTTCCATACTCTTTCGCAAGTAGATTTGCTCGAGCCTCATGCACTAGATTCGCTCTCGCCAAGGGCGTCAGCGAACGTATCTTGTCCCCTGACCCAGAACCGAGAAAGTCACGCAACAGGTCGTCTTCTGAGATATTAGGATCAGGGGGTAGTGTCTCTGCCAAAACCCTGAAGTTTGCACCACAGCATTCTGGTCGCGTACAATTTGGCAGGCACTTCCTCGCTTCCTTGTTACGGACAACCTCTTGGAATGCATAATCAAGGCCTCCTGTGTATTTGGGGTTGACCTTGAAATCGGAGAGATCAAGCCGAAGGACCGGCCGTGAACGGAGTGGCTCTTTCGTCTCTGATACTTTGCTTGTAACAGGAGGCTTCCTGGCTGAATGGGAATGAGGTGGAACAGGAGTAGGAGGGGTCGGTGCTGTTAGCAATGCCTGCAACCGTTGACGGGGCGAAGTCTTTGGATGAGCCTTCTTCTCCGATGGATTTTCCGTATCTTCTCGGTTGTGATCAATGCCATCCTCTGCGAGAGACGAGATTGCCTCCGCGTCTCGCTCACTCAATCCCGTGGGTTTTTGTCCTTGGACAGAGCGGCCAGCTGAAGGTACGTTAAGTTCAATCTCTTGTAGTGGTTCTACCTTCTCTACACTGTGGACTCTTTGACGTTTCCGACCGGAGCTCTTTGGAGTTTGCTCTTCGCCCGACACAATGGGAGATGAGAGATGTAGATTCTGTGAGCGTCTTTTCTCCTTACGGAGCTGATTCTTCAGACTGTCAATCTCTGCTTGCTTCTCTGCATCTTTCCGGAATAGTTGGTCCAGCTGGGCCACAATCTCTGGCCCTTCATTTTGTTTACCTGCCTGTGCCTGTCGTAATTCCTCGATCTCGCGCTTGAGTCTTTCGTTTTCGTCTTTCAAACGGTCGATGGTCCTATCACTGCTATCAAGCTGCCGTTGAAGAGCTTCGCTCTGTGTAAGAGCGAGGACGAGGGTCGAAGTAAGTGACAGCGTAGGAGTGGACATGTCTGAGGTTGTGTGCGAACGACCTCTATACGTAGAACATGTCTGAAGTTGAGACGCGTTTGGTCGGGCGCGTAGAGGACTGTTGTACGAGTACGAGGTACGAGGTACACTCGGCTGGTTGGTCTCCGCATGCCTTAGTCAGCCTGCGGAGACTCAGTGCGGCTTGGGTGGCTCCGTGATCGGTGGGGCAGGCGGCGACCAGATCTCCAGGCTCTTTGACGGTGAAACTCTATCGAACACTCCTGCTTCCAACCCACGTAGAGGCTGCGTCCTTGAGATGCCGAAACGAAGACGGAGCAATGATGATACTGGCAAGCAGCCAGCGCCAGCGAAACGAAGTCGCACCGGGTCCAAGCGTCATCTGCTGGACATCAGCGACGAAATTCTCCTGCGCATCTTATCATTTCTCCCTATCAAAGACTTGCTGAAGACTGAGTGGTGAGTACCTGAAGCAATACCCGTGTGCTCGCTTTTCGCTAATCTGTCCACAGTGTCTCGCGCCGACTTCATTCCCTCGCTACCGACCGCGGAATCTGGAAGGTGAAATATATGCAAACATGGGTGCGGCCGCGCTTGCGACGGCTTCCGCCTGCAGGCACAGGGCACCACGATCACTCGGTAGATTGGAAAAGCCGGTTCAGGATTAAATCAAATTGGTCAAAAGGCCAGGCCAGATTAAAGGAGGTTGAGGTCGCTCGGCCGCCTGCACCACCCGTGATTGCGAAAGTCCATCGGGGCATGATATTCACGGTCGATCCAGCCAATGGCTTGCGAACATGGTCTCAGCGGGATGTGACGAAGACACCGAAGGCGCAGACTCAACTTCATGGACCGTCGACCGCCACCTGCATGGCTGTAGAATCCATCGACGACACAACCTATATCTTGCTTGGGTTCGACGATGGATCTCTCTCGATTTACATCTACGATCATGAGGGCCAAATCGAGCTCCGGTCAAGCCACCAGTCCGCGGACGGATCCCTAATGGCTATTTCTCTAGCTTTTCCCTACGTTATGACGGTCTCCAGAACAAAGTACCTAAGCCTGTATCAGTGCGACTCGAAGGGGATTCAAGACGGAAACGCGACCGATATATTGACAATTGCTCGACTACAGTCCGATGCCTCCTTTGCGCCCATTTCGGTAGCCTTAAGACGCGCCCCAAACCAGGTCATTGCGACTATCGCGTATGCGTTTAGCAGATTCCAGTTTGGATGGTGTGTTGGGTTACAGGAAATTCGTCTGACCACCGCCGGCAGAGTCATGGACAGCAGATTGGCGTCAACTTTGAGCCGTCCCTACACAGGCTGGAGCAAAGGGGATATGACCACCCGATCGACAAGTTCTCTGCCATTGCCTCTGCACCCTCAACTGATGAATCCGCCTACCTCTCTTTCTTACCAACATCCGTTCCTGATCGGGACCTTGGCAGACAACACAATCATATCGTTCCTCGTGACTTCAAATGAGGAAAAGCTAGAGATTAGCGCCGGACGACGTCTTTGGGGTCACACATCGGCAGTGTCAGGCGCAGAAGTCAACAACCGGGGCAAAGCCGTGTCGATCAGCTCTCGCGGAGATGAAATGCGAGTTTGGGAACTAGAACCTGTGATGGCCACTGAAAACCAACCTCGGGCCAGCACCGAGATCATAGCGGTCGATGCGTTGTGTGGTGGCGCTGAGCTGTTACGGGGGCGAAGTCCTACGCTGGGATTCGCCTTGGGCGAGCTAAGACGCGAAATGGAGCTTACGCGACGATGGGTTGGCTTCGACGATGAACAGGTGGTGGTGCTGGGCGAACGAGGTCAACGACAGATTATGGCATTGTACGATTTTACGTAGCATGGAACGGGATGTTTTCCTCGTTTTTCGATTTGAACAAGCACATATACACAAGATCTCCAGGGTGTCAGTCTCGAGATCAGGCTCAAGAGGCGTTTCGACTTGTCGAAATGTATCAACGTCTGGTGACAACGGCCCTTATCTGCAACGACGACGAATAGGATGCAAGGAAGCCTTCCGCGTGGTTACAGCAATGACAGGAGAGGAGCCTGAAAAGATCCAGACCAACGGCAGAACAAGGCAGTGCATTTTTGCAGCTGGTAACCCAACCCGAGTCGTCAGGTCTGTGCCTCTCTCGTACAAGTACGCAGACAAGTGAATGGGCATGATTGGAGCCATAGACAGAGTTTTTTTTTTCGTTCGATTCCCCTATTAGTATGACGTTGTGACAACCCCGGTGTCTAAGTTAATTCTGCCAATCCACGCCGCCGGCCACTTTTTCTCCATCGCATTTTCTCCTCAGCTTTAGTTTACCTAGCATTCACTTCTGCACACACACAACATACTCGACGCTGAGGCTCTTCTTCCATCTTGTTCCTACTGTGCTTGATCTCTGGTACGCAGCTACATATTCTCGTTATCTTTGCATGGATTGCGTCTTCCGGAGACTGAGAACTGACTGAAACTTCAGATCTCACTGAAACGAACCACCGTCCAAACAAAACATCATGGACAGAGGCTGCTATAACTGCGGCGATTCATCGCATCAGGTACTGGCGACCGATATCATTGGTCCTACATCCCCTTACTTTACTTCAGGCACGCGACTGCCCCAAAAAAGGCACACCGACCTGGTGAGTAAATCTGATCCGTTTGCCACCATCTGGCCTCTCACTTCAGATTGACTGACATGTCAAACAGTTACAACTGCGGAGGTACGTCGCACACAAGTCACTTCTAGTCCCTTGCCTTTACTTATCTCGTCCACAGCCGAAGGCCACGTCAGCCGAGAATGCACTGCTGCGCCCAAGCCAAAGTCTTGCTACAAATGTCAGTACAACCAACGAAATGATGGAAGTCGAAACACATATATTGATTCACTTACAGGTGGGAATGAAGGACACTTTGCGCGCGACTGCCCTCAAGCTGGTCCCCCTGGAGGTGCAGGAGGTGGCTGGGGTAGCACTGGCGGCAACACCTACGGTGGCGGCTCGTCTCGAGAATGTTACCGCTGCGGAGGGCAGGGCCACATAGCGCGGTAAGATATGATTACTATGATTCGAATCGACATTTGCTAATCTCCTCAGTGACTGCACTTCCAGTGGAGGCGGCGGCGGCGGCGGGTTTGGCGGCGGGTTCAATCGCGGTGGTGGAGGTCAGACCTGCTACGTGAGATCCCTTCTTTTCTCCAATCATGAGATCTGTACTGACAGAAAGGACACAGTCTTGCGGTGGCATCGGCCATATGTCTCGGTATAGCACAGTTGGAATTTACTTGCACCATCTGCCTGGCTAACCATTTTCAGTGACTGCACCCAGGGTCGAACTCAGAAATGCTACGTATGTTTCCCTCACCGGCATCGGCAATTAGTACACTGACTGACACACGCGCAGAACTGTGGCGAACAGGGTCATCTCTCTCGCGATTGCCCATCCGAGCCATCCTCTGAGCGCATCTGCTACAAATGTGAGACCACCTTCTTACCATTGCGGTATCCTTCTGACCTTGCATTCCAGGCAAGCAACCAGGACACTTGCAGTCCGCTTGCCCCAACTAGTGACTTGCACGAGCATCTTGACGAACCGACCACTACTTTTCCTTTCTTATCCAATTCACGCATAAAGATGGTCCCTGGGATGGTTGGTGATGTAACATCCCATCTTGAGCATCACGATGACATGATGAACACGCATTCGAGCAAATGACAAAAAGGTTACGACAGAATTTCCAATTTTCGGATTCGGCGATGGCTCAACATCCTAGGCGAACCATCTGTGGTTGGTGGAAGGGCCTTTCTGAAACCGGGTGATGACGGGAAGAGATTTCGAAAAGGTCTTTGCAATGCAGGAGCAAGCGGACGATGGAGAAAGGAGAATTTTGAATGGGGTTCGTCGAGATCAATCAGATTGCACGAGAACCAAGGACATTGAACAGACAAATTAGGCTGGGACAAACCGGGGTGTTGCTGGAAGGGGGCAAAGTTTCATTCGTTCAACGAGTCAGCATGCAGCTCGGAGCACTGACATCAAGAATCAAAGGACGCTGTGCGATGAAATACCAGCAATATGCGAAGAATTCCTGGCAGGTAGAGATGAGGTCGAGAGGAGCTCGGGCTTTCTCGTATGTCGAGATGATCCATCCCGACAAGGTTGATAACAAAACGAGAGAGCTCGCCGACCACTTCCCGTTCTTTGTTCTCTGGAATCCCTTGTCATGCTGCTGTAGCATTGCAGAAGCTTCCGCCAGCTATTCGTCTGTATAGCGAACGCGCGTTCCTGGGAGAGGTAGATCAGTGGTGATCGAATTGTTGCATCGAGTACAAGACCATCCCGGCCAATCTTCTGACAGAAGAGACGACATGTACCCCGTATTTCTCCGAGTGCGTACGAGTAGAAGCTACAAGCTTCCAAAGACGGGATGCATTTTATAAGTATCGTGGTCCCGGTCATAGAGGTCATTACTGATAAAGGTAGCTGACGGATTGGGATCGGCGAGTCGGATGAGTGAAGTCCGGTCCCCTGCCCCGCCTCGACGCCTCGTCAGGTTTCAGGTTGCGGTCATCAACGGACATCACTGCCACTGCCACTGGCACCTACGGGCAGCCTCTCCAATCATGTGTAGCCTATTCCAAGGTCCCTGGAGCCCTTGACCGACACCTTACGCGTCCTCCGCAGCAGCCAAGCGCAACCAAGCCTTCCTTGCCCGTTGTTTGCTTGACCGTGATTCGCAGCCTTGTGCTGCCCGCTGCTATTTCAAGTTCCAGGAACAGCATGCGCCCCAGTCTTTTTTGTTCCCGTTCACCAACGCCCGCGTACCAAGACCACGTACGAGTCCCTGTCACCCTGTCTATCCAGCCCCCCCTCCCCGGCCGACACTAGATACTGGGTATTATTATGAATGGCGTCTCAGTTCCTCGAAGAGGTCTTCGGCCGCTCTTCCTCCCTCTTTCTTTCTCCCACCAGACATTTACCACACCTCGACGACATTTCCATTCGATAACAACCCACTCGCTATGGCCAGAAGCTCAATCATCACTCTAGCTACTGCAGCTCTATTGGCAACGACTGCCAATGCTCAGTTCGGGTACGGATGGGGAGGAGGATGGGGCAATGGAAACGGAAATGGCTGTCCTCCTTGGGCCAGCGATTGTGACAGCTCCGACGATAGCGGCGATGGTAGTGGCTCTTCGTCTTCGAACGGCATCTCCCAAAGCTCGCTTTTCTCCTCACCAGCAGCGTTCGATCACGCAACTCGCATCCTGATCGCTCACGCTGTGCTGGCCTCTGCAGTCTGGGTCCTCTTTGTCCCGTCACTCGCTATCCTACTACGCCTAAACATCAAGAATCCTATTGTGCTCAAGATCCACGCCGTGGGCCAAATCCTCAGCTACATTATCTTCATCGTCGCTGCGGGCATGGGCATATGGCTTGCACAGCAGTCTGCCGCCTTCGGTGTTTGGAACGACCCTCACCCGAAGCTTGGTCTTGCGATCCTGGCATTGGCTTTCTTTCAGCCAATTGTAAGTTTTCCATCCTTGGGATCCATCATGCTTGTACGCAATTTTGTCCATGCTAATGGTGAGACCAGTTCGGATCTCTCCACCATTCAATCTACAAGAGACGTGCTCAGAACGTCCAAGCCGGCAAGCCAACAAAAGCCCCTGGCCGGACTACCCCTGGACGTGTCCACCTGTGGCTCGGTAGGCTTCTGATTGTGCTCGGGATGATCAATGGCGGCTTGGGCATCAGGTTAGCATCCTTCAGCCCATTTCAGACCGATGGTACCTCCACCAAGGCCAAGATTGCCTATGGTGTCATTGCAGCAACCATGTTTTTACTCTACCTTGTGTTTGTGGTCACCTTTGAGATCAGGAAGTCGAGGGCGAGCACGGAGGAGGTGCGAAGTAGACAGCAGGTGGTCGCCAACAAGGATGGGTTGCCCTCATATGACGAGAGCGAGGAATCTGTGGGCAGACCCAGCAGATACAGCTAAATCCCTGATGACTTGGGTCACGTCTGATTGTTTGATGATGTTCCCTAGGAGGACAAAAGAGACAAATGTGGTTTACGAAAAGTTCCTCCCTCTTATTCCACACATTTGATGGTGAGATGACATGATATGATAATGGTACATATAAGATTTTACATACAAGAACTATTTTTTTTCCCAACAGATCCTTACAACTCACCAAACCCCTGGGATTAGAGCGTAGGGTACCTCCCTCTTGACCTTGGCCCATTGCTCGCCGTACTTGTTTACCATGTACTCGTCCAGGATAGGGATTGCTCGAGCACCAAAGTCCCAGAGAAACCAGCCGCCGACAACGACACCCCACACGGGACCGCCAGACGCCAGGGCGTACCCGGCACGCCACATCGAGTAGCCCAGGTACGAGACGTGACGGACGACGGAGAACAAGCCGCCTGTATAGACTTTGCCTTTGTTCGCGGGGTCCCTTTTGAAATTGCGACGCTGGACCTCGGAGACGGTCTCGCTCAGCAACCCGCCCGCGAACAGCACCGTGCCGACGTAGACGCTCCAGGGGGCGAAATAGACGGGGTTCTCGGCCGACGCGTCGTACAAGAGCGTATTGAGGCTGTTGAAGACGGTATTGAAGACGCTGATGGCCACCGCCGCGCCCGGGTACACAGGCTCCTGGGCCGTCGCGACCTTCCAGAAGATATGCTTCGCCGCGGCCCCGATCGACATGGCCCAGATCACCGTCTGGTACGGCGTCAGGCCCGTCGCTGCCAGCACGGGCCCGCCCGCGACGGGTGCATGAAGCGCCGCCGCCGTCGCCGAAGAAGAGAGTCCCAGCCTCGACGCCAGCAGCGGCAGCGGCGAGTGGAGCAGGAGATGTCGTTGCAGCAAGGGGTCCAGCGCCCGGAGACCAATCAAGAGCGTGTTTCCAACCAGGTCGCTCCCGTACGACCCCCGGGGCACCAGGTCGAACTTTTTCTTGTCCTCTGCCATTGCCCTGTGCCTGTAATACTCGCAGCGACGAGGACAGAATGTAGTCAGATTCGGGGGTGACTTTGTGACCCACACAAGATGTTTTCGTGGGTTAAGGGCATGGGTAGGGTGAGCGGAGGATTGAGGAGGAGGCGGCTATGGTGAGCGGCAGGTCCCTGACCAAGAACCACCAAACGGGTGCGGAGGGACGGAGGAGCCCATTATTGTCATGGCGAGAGAAAAGCTGTCGCTGAGCACGCCGAATCGGGGTTTTCTCGGCTTCAGCCTCGACGATACACAACCATAGCGACGATGAGCCATCTCGCCCTTGCATGCGGCGATGTCTGCAGAGTCTGGGAGGGAATGGAGGTGTCTAGCCGGTTGCATAATTCTCCCACGATTATCAGCCTGTAGCCATTACTAAAGTGCTTTATTCACGCCTTGCAAACACACAAGGATTTGTTACTACGCAGGTATGCAGATGACGGACAACTCCGTCTATATCAATTTCCTACTCGTATTACTCCTGATATCCATTTTCCCCTTCACTCAAACCTTCCCACCACTTCCTTGCGCTTGGACATGGCAGAGTCTGGGTTTGACATAGGGTTCGGCCTCGAAGGTTCGCACGTACTGGTAACCGGATCTTCGGGGGCTATTGGATCAGTGGTGGTCAAAGCATTCCTTGCCGCAGGCGCATATGTGTCGGCATTTGATCTTGTCGAGCCTCGACAACCCATCCAAAACGAGCGGCTCAACTTCTACCGGGTCGACATCACAGATGAGTCCAGGGTAGAGCAGGCTATGGAGTCAGCCAGGACTGTGTTCGGGGTAATAACAACATGCGTTTTAGCCGCAGGTCTGGACTTGTCCTACTGCCCTCAACAGTCCCTCGTCGACATGCCACTTAGAGCATGGCAGAAAGTGCTGAATGTCAATGTCGACGGCACATTCCTGACCTGTCGAGCGTGGCTTCGAGGCATCAGAAGTCACACAACACCCGCGGCCAAAAATATCTCTGCTATTCTTTTCGGTAGCGAGGCCGGAACCTTTGGAGTTCCATTGTGCGCGCCGTACGCCGCTTCGAAGTCGGCGATTCAATACGGCCTTGTCAAATCGCTCGCTCGCGACGCCGTCAACATCAACCCACGTTGTCGTATCAATGCCATCGCGCCAGGTCCTGTAGCCACAGCGCAATTTCAAAAGGAATGCGACGATGATCCAAAGGCTTTGTGGCGTGAAGCCCAAGCAACCGTTGCATTACATCAGCCGGTCCCAATTGAGGCGGTTGCAAGAGCCTGTCTATTCCTTGCAAGCGACAATTTTTCTGGTAATATAACTGGACAAGTGTTGCCGGTTGACTCTGGGAAGAGTGGCGCTCTGCTGTGGCCAGAAGCACCATAGAGTTGGCCCGACTTACCTCTAGAGCAGCATAGGCTGGGAGAGGAGAGGTTTCTTGGTCGGTACCCAGACCGTCCAAGTGGTTGGATCGAACTGAACAACTCTTCAACTCTTCTGGAGCCTCATTTCAGTAATTCATCCATTTAGCCTAGAAACAACATTTATGGAGCCAGCATGCCGGTTCAGAAAGGGAATGTTGTCTAGTCTGACGGAAAGGGACTGAAGGCTGGCTTTGCGACTCCAGACTGACTGAAGCCAGCTGTCGCTCTCATTGGAAATTTGACTTTTCTTCCAAGACTGAGCCATGCCTATCAAAAGTGGCGGCAAATTTTCATCTGTGTAGCGGAGTCTTGGCCGGCCCCTATAATGTTTTGACGGCTGTTGGCGAGGGCGTCCATTTTGAGTCAGACCGTTATTTATATCTGCCTGATGGCCTGACAGGCGGCATGAATTGCATGTGTCCGGCATCTTCTTCGGTGATTGGTAGGAAGCTAGGGCGAGACTTACCCGAGAGTTGTGCCACTGGGTAGGAGAGGGGGAAACAGGGTGTGATTGCGCAGCCAAGGGGAATAGAGCCACAAGGCTCAACCTCTGACAAGGACGGCTTGTTGATAAGAAAACAGTCAAAGGGACATCGGGAAGGTCAGGGTTCGGAGGGCTGGTAACTCGGACAAGAGGTCTCTTGAGAATGGAAGAATATACCATATACCCGCTGAGTGAGGTCGACGGTGACGGAAGAAGCTCGAACCTATCGGCCCGTTTCACCTCTTTTACAGCGACTAAAACCATCTTGAATGTAGGGTCGATTGACAGAAGAGCGGGCGATCTCAGTGCGGAGAGTGACCATTTCTTCTTGTACTCTTATGATGCTGGGATTCCCACCTACAGCAGTGTGCAAAGCATGCAGACTGCAGGGGTGTTCTGCGTGAATTTTTCGCTATTCCATCGTCCAACGAACACTCCCGAGAGTGGCGCAAACAGAGTAGTTGGATGCAAGGTGACGGCGTCTGAGACCGAACATCGTGGGAATCGGAGCGAACTAGCGAAGCACATCGATACTGGAAGCAGAATCTTGACCCGCGACCACTCGAATAACGCAAAAAATATGCAGCACCAATGCAGGTGTTGAAGAGAGTTCACGCGGTGACAATCAACAACCAGTGGGAGGCTCGGAGGGTTGGTGGGATGATGGCAAAACATGGAGAATGATGGAGGGGAGCAAAATGCAGCGAGGCGGCTGCCCACCCAACAGCCAAGCCTTGACTAACAGAAACAAACTAGGCTCGTCGTAGATTGCCCCTATGAGCATCCCCTAGGGACCTTTTAGGGGGTCTCCAGGTGCCATCCAGGCTACCCGTTAACTGAGCCCTGGGAAGCTCGGCGCAAGCAGGCTGCTGGCAAGCCCTTGAAGAACTCCTAGGAAGGGGACCTGGAAGGGCCGCTTTTCCACTTGCCAGGGCTCCGCCTCCACAATTCGAGTTCCATTTTGGTTAACTAATCTACAACTCTGTTCACTCATCACCAGCAGCGCCTGACGTCCTTCCTTGCTCACCGTGTTGTCATTTTCCACGCATTTGTCCTCGAGTCTCCCAAGTTGTGAAGCCCAACACCTTGTGTCACACATCTGTCGCATTTGCAGTTTGTCCTTGGTTGCACCTTAATCCTTGAGCGACCATCCACCAGCCACAGTCCTCGCCTCGCACAAAACAACCGCCACAGGCAACACAGCGCAGTCGGACACCGTGGAAGCTCTTCCTGCTCCAGCTCGAGCCAAAATAAAGTGAAGGGCAATTTTATGCTCTCGTTTCCTTCTTTATACGCTTCATCCTATACCCTACACGGCTCCTTCAGCGGTTACGTTTGAGGAAGAGATGGCATAGCGGTGTTGCGGTGACGGGTACAATTTCAGGTCTTCGAGAGCCCAAAAAATCCGACAGCATGGCATCGGCTCAAGATGATGATATGTATCTCTTCCAGAATGCCCTCGGCCAAACCCCAGCATTTGCTGGTCAAGACTTTGACGCATTTCTGGAAACTCCACTCCCAGACCTCGACCAGACAACCTCGCCTCCGGGCTTCCTCAACCCGAATGACTTAACGATAAAGCGGGAAGTGGACTCTTTCAGTCCGCTTCCTCACAATGATGCGTTTGCGCGCACATCTAGAGGGTCTGCCTCAGGGTCCAGCAGCTCCTCTTCCGAAGACCCTGCGGACCGTACACGCCACATGTCCGCGGCTTCAACAGCCTCCCCTCCAGCGCACGAAGTGGTACAGAGCAACTGGGGAAGCGGGATAAATGGGTTTTCAATATCTTCAGATGACAATCTATTTGAGGACACCGCTATGGCCGGCCTGGATCAAGATTTCGAGGCAAGTAATCAGCAGATGGCTTCCGATTTCGACTTCGATACGGCTGCTAGCACTCCTAGCGGATTTGACCCGGCGGACAAGCGCAATAATATCAAACGTACGATAATGAATCAACCCTTCAACCGACAAGTCGATTTTTCCAAGTTTGGAAAGCAGGCTCCGACCGCACAACTACCGAATGGGCAACCTCAGTTCTTCTTTGCCGGGTCCAGGGAGGCATCACCTTTGAATGCAATGCTGCCCTCTGCGCAGGGACAGTCCCCATGGAGCAAGCACTCTCCATCCTCTGGTTTGGAGGAAACCTTCAACCACATCACCATGAATGGCGATTCACCTGGTAACGCGACATTCTCACCTAATCTCCAGTTTTCGTCTACCGGATTCAGTTTTGATGCGGACTCAAGTGCAACCCCTTCTACTTTCACTAAAGATATCTCTTCTCCACCATCCACGGTCAATTCTACCGAAGGATCACCAACCCTGATAGTACATCCAACCTCGCTCAAATCCCGTGTTGAAACTCAGATACCGATTAAGATGACACTCTCGTCACTTCCACCTGGCGTCAAGAAACTAAGGCTCCCAAGACACACAGTATCCAAGCCCAAGTTCCTCGCGAAACCAGAGGTCCCGCGGTCGCCAGAGATTTTGGAGCTTCATACATCGTTGGTTTGCACAAGCGCCATGCAAGACAGGGTGAAGTTGCAACGGGCATTGGCACGCGCGAGGGGCGAAGACCCAGGTCCTTATGCTCGATCGAGTCCTGCCTCCGTCGAATCAAGCACCTCGAAAGATGATGAGGACAAGCCTCTGAATGGCGGTGAGGTTCGCATTTGTGCGGGATGCATACAGCGGGAGAGGAAAAGGGCCTCGAGGAAGAAGCAGAAGAAGCCTGAGGAAGAAGAGCTTTTCCAGAGAGATGAGGAAAGGAGAGTGGTCGTTTTCAACACCAATGAAATAAAAGAATGGGTTGAGGCTCCTCGTGAGACCAGCGGCAGCGAAGCCCAAAATGCGTCTTCTTCAGCCGCGGTGCAAGTGGAGCTACCAATGCGGATTGCCTGCTATTGTCGGCACCAAAACGAGAAAATGGGCTTCCAAGTGATATTCACAATCAAGGACTGTCGAGATAAAGTCATCGCTCAGGCCATGACCAACGCTATCATGATCACAGATGATCACAAAACTCACAATCCACCAGCGGTCATCCCGAATCAACAGGCACCTTTGCCAACTCCGGGACCACAGTTACCAGGAGCAGGCGTCTTCTCCAGTACTGATCACGAGGTGCAGCCTCAGACACAGGTCATCAATGCCAAAATGTCTAGGCAGGCGTATTCCATGACTGATCTGCATGCGTTACAGCAGACTTTCACCCCCAATTTCCCCCTGGCCCCAGCGAACACACCATATGCCATTCCGGCGACTGCCTCAAGCCAGGCACTGGCCAATTTCGCACCACGAAATCTTTCCAGACCTGCCTCCCCTAGTGGTCCGTCAGGTCCGACTTCAAAGAGAAGGAAACAAAGTGGGTCCGGAAAGTTGCCATCTGGCTTGACAATGACTCGTCTCGACACATCGCAGGTACTCCCCGGGGCTTCCACCATGCCCAATACTGCCGCGTCGTCTCCCTACGCTCCAAATATGGCATCGTACATTGGACCGAACGATCGCGCATTTGCGATGCCTGCTACCCGGCCTGCACCTTACGGCAATAGTCCTCCAACACCCAATGGAGTTGAACCTTCATTCGCTGCCAATATCAACCGCTCTGTGAGTCACGAAAATCTCCCGCGGCAAATAATGATATCAGCGCCACCCTCCCGTCAGCCAAGCAGGCCTGGTAGTCCCGGCTCTGCTAGGAACAGCTTTGGAGCTGCCGATGCCGCCTTCGGTCAAGCGGTTAGCAACCAATTAATGGCACAACCTGCTCGACGGCCACCGCCGCTGATCCACAAATTGGTACCCGCCGAAGGATCTGTGACGGGAGGCACAGAAGTCACCTTGCTGGGCAATGGCTTCTACCAAGGCCTCGAGGTGATGTTCGGTGATACTGAGGCCACGACCACGACATTTTGGGGAGAAAAATGTCTGAACTGCATTGCACCTCCAGCTCTTCAGCCAGGCGTTGTCCCCGTTGTATTTAAGCACGATCACCCACAATATTCACCAGTGCCACAACAATCCCAGACCCGGCCCTCCCTCTTTACTTATGTGGATGATAGGGAATTGGAGATGTTCCGCCTAGCACTACGTACCCTTGGCAAGCAGCTACAACATCCAACGGATGATCCATACTCGGCCGCCCAGCAGCTTCTGCAAGGACAGCCTCATTCTATGTGGCTCGCACACGGGAGCTATGGACTAGGTGGAGGACACCAGCGCATGCACGGGCACATGGCTGGAGCTCCGATGGATACGCTCGAGTTAGAAGCTATGATGTTACAGGTATTGGAGCAAATGGACTCCCAAAGGCTATTTAGAGCCCCAAAGTTTGATTTGTGTCGTCCATCTGGTCTCACCTTGCTGCATTTGGCAGCTTCGTTGGGCCTTACGCGATTCGTTGCGGGACTGCTCTCGAGGGGAGCGGATCCCAACATAGTCGACAATAACGGCCACACACCGATGCATCATGCTGCCATGAACGGCCATACGCATGTGATCCATCGACTGCGCTTGACGGGGGCTAACCACAAAGCCCGCAGTATCCGCCATTTTACGCCTGCTGACCTGGCGACATCATTACTTGCCTACCAGGCCACAATATCGCCCATGGAACACTATCGGTCACGGAGTGCTGGAGGGACACCGATGCGACTGCATAGTCGTAGCTCCTCCTCTCTTCGCTCATTCTGGGAGAATGCCTCGAACCATTATGCCACTTCTGATACGGACGGCTCAGACGTTTCGGACGATTTTGACGACGAGACGCCGACCAGAGTCACTTCCGAGGAACCGGATCTTTCGCAGGTGCTCGGGCAGAGAAATCGCAAGAAAGCCGTTAGTGTGCCTCCATCCCGAAGGGGTAGCATGCCACCGACGACGTCTCAAGCATCAAGTTTCCCCCCGGAGAATGTCCCAAATGCAGCACCGGCAATGGCTCCATCAGCGTTCATGCTCGCGTGGCGAGATCATCTGGTGGCTCAACTACAACAATTCAATGAGAACGCCCAATCAGTTATGCCTAGTCTCGCCAACCTCAACGGCCCTCTCGCAGCTATCCAGGAGTATCAGGCATATCCTATGATGCGCCGTGTAAGCGCTCTTTTCCCTCAACGTTCAGGTTCCAGACAGCTGCAACCAGGCCAGCGTGAAGGCTGGTGGGAGACTTTGACGGGCAGATCATCCCCTCCGGCTCCATCTTCCCCTCCGGCCTATAGCGATCTGTATCCAGAAGAAAAAGAAGGGACGGATCAGGACTGGAGCATTAAAAAGGCATCCACTCTGCAAGCCGTAACCGATGCTGCAGCAGACCTCCAGTTTGAGCAGCAAACCGCCAGTGAGAACGCCGAAGGGAGTACCACCTCTGGGAATGCTACTGCCTTGATAAGGAAGCCGATCGAAAAAGTCGAGCTGAGCCGCGATCGGAAATTGTTCTTCTTCTGGGTAAGTTGGAAATGGGCTAATTCTTCGTTTCGAACGCTGACATGCCACAGATCCCATTACTTGCAATCGTTCTAGCATTGATGATTCGCAACTCTGGCATTACCGATATTTTTGCCTTTTCTAGTAGCCGGACACAGCCTCTTGCCAATCAAGAGGCGGTTGGTGTTTTCTAAGATGTTTTTGGTCATGGAGACGCCTTGTACGAGTCAATGGGTGTTTAGCAGCGAATCACGGTGTTTTTTTTTTTTCCTCGACAGGAAGCGCGAGCTCTCAGATGGTGGCTACGTAGTATTTATATATGAATGAGCGCAGTGGTATACATGGACTTTGTTTCGAGAATAATGCAAATGAGACTCGACCTAAGCGGAACCATCTTTGCACCACTCGATCGCCAGTATGTAACAGACAGACAAGACAGATACCAAGCAAAGGTGTCGTCGCTGTTCCCAGGTCGCCAATCGGATACCAAGATCCGAGCCGCTCTTCGGCTACTGAATCAAAGATCGAAAAGTGCGCAATTTGGAGCTTGTACCTTTTCAACCATTCAAGCTTTTCTCCCACGTGGACGTCCTGATTCGACGACTGCAGTTCACGATCCATGGGACCGGCACACGACTTCGACGAGTGAATCTCATCGCTCCGACTACTCAGGCAATGTCTGTTGCTCGAAATACACCTCGTCCACCGCCCTACCCGTACACGTTGGCCGGTTAAAGTCTCCGTTACGGCTGCCTCGAACCCCTCTCCCGACACCCGAGTGCGTCCCGAGGATTGTGTCGCCATGGACAGTGCTTTGGAATACGAGAAGAAGCATGTGCACGAAGTGTACGAGGATATAGCGAGTCATTTCTCGTCCACACGATACAAGGTTCGCACGTCGTCCGGCAGCTCAGCGGCGCATTCAAGTTGATCAACGTGGCAGCCGTGGCCTGTAGTCGACCAGTTTCTCCGACGTCTGCCCCCTGGGTCTGTCGGTCTTGACGTGGGCTGTGGAAATGGGAAGAACTTGACTGTAAACAAGGATGTCTTCATTATTGCTTCGGATAGGTAAAGTCGACAAAAAACTAAAGAGCAACATAAGCCAGCTAACCGTGCTTGAAGGTCAAACGCCCTGGTAGAGATCGCCCACCGCCGTCCACCGCATACTGCCATCGTCGCAGACACCCTTAGCCTTCCACATCCAAGTGATTTGTTCGATTTCGCAATCTCCATCGCGGTTATACACCACCTATCTTCCAACGCACGACGGGTTCAGGCTATCAGAGAAATCTTGCAGACCTTAAGACCACCTTCCAAACCTCGTCGAGGGGACGGAGAAAGAGAAGGGGGAGGCCAGGCATTGATATTCGTTTGGGCACTGGAGCAGAAAGGTAGCCGACGGGGTTGGGACCGCGGCCACGAGCAGGACGTGCTTGTACCCTGGGTTCTCAAGCCGGATGTCGCCTCCAAATCCAAACCGGAGGCTCAAATGCCCGATCCACCCATCTCAGCAACATACCATCGATACTATCATCTGTATCGGGATGGCGAGTTGCAAGAGGACGCCATTGCTGCCGGCGCGAGGATAGTCGAGTCTGGTTATGATCGAGATAACTGGTGGGTCATCCTCTCCCGACAAGACTGAGATATCAGTAATTATCTCCTTGCGCTTGTTTGAGCAACACAGAGATACCGCCCATACATACGATCAGACTCCGAAAGACGCATCTTGTTGTTGGCGCCTGGAGTCTCAAATCCGATTCCAGTCTCAAGTGTTTGCAGCGTCATCCCAGTTCGACTTGGGACGACGCGTTCACAGATCACATTATCCCTCGTTCGCAGCCGGCCGTCTGCGCGATTCGGAGGTGTTGGGGTATCAAATCACTATATTACAGCTTCTTGCTGCCCATCACAGCAGGGGTAATCAAAGCAAATGCAAACAATCCATCATCAAAACCCGGAATCATGGTGCCTCTCTGTTCACACCGATTTTATTGAAACATGCTTCGCTCAAACACAAGACAACATCAGGCCAATTCTTTCATTTTCATCTTTCAGCGAAAAGGAGCATGGCGGCCTCTTGGGTGGTTGTACAGATGAGGATGGTAAGGGTCTGGGGCGTGGTAAGGTGGTGCTGAAAACGCAGGCAGTCCCGCCGTGAGCTCTGCCAGAGAAGGGAGTTGCTGAGGGCCCTGTAAACCCGTCTCTGAAGGCATCGAGTCTCGTCGTAAGGGGCGCGCTGGAGGTCCGCCATGTCGGAGTGGTGGTCTTGGAGGTAGAGATGAAGGCTCGATCCCGCTATTGGCGTTGGTCAAGGAAAATGGAACCACACCGGCCCGCTTCGCCATCTCATGTTCACCCATCTGCCAGTGCATTGCTTCGACGGCTCTCCATGGCATCGCCATCTCCTCTGCAACTCTCGCCCACATGTCGGCTCGAAACCTTTGATTCAAAGAAGCTTAGTCGACGGGGATTTCCCAAAAGAGACAAGATGACAGGGCAGCAAGAACAGTTGTACAAGATCTTTCTTGACAGCGATGTTGGGGACAAACTGCGATCGGGTGCGACGTTTCTCAACATACCTCTCGTACAACCTTGCGAGTTTATTTTTGCGGTCCTCATCCCACTCACTTCTCCGCTCGAGATAATTCTGATAGTGGAGTCTACAACTGATGGCGCTGCGTCCGGGCAGGTGCTTGCTGATATCCTCCCACTTCATGCCATCCTGGCGAAGCTGGATGATTTTGGCGTCCTCCTCCGGGGACCACTTGGACTGTTTCTTCGCCGGAGATTGGATTGGGTGGTCCTGGCTAGAGGAGAGTCTCTTCGCAGGCACCGCCGGCCGCGGCTGGGGCGGTGGCAGAGGAGCCACGCTGGTGGCAACACTGGACGGCACCGACTCTGATCGAGATACTGAGGCGGGAGAGCTGGTTGACTGGCCGTCGTCCTCTTCAGTCGGCTTGAGCAGCGACGAGATATCCACGATGGGTGATGAGACGAGGTTTCGGTTCGTGAAGGATGGAGGGAGGGTTGTTGCCGGAATTCAGTGGGTGCTGCCATACACGAAGAAGACGGGAATGAACAGAAAAAGAAGTCGAGGAGGGATTCTTGGAGATCAGGCTGAGAAAGCGAGCACAGGCGGAACACCACAGAGGACTACTAATGGCAGGAGAAAGGCTCGCTTCCGATGAGAGTGTGGGTTGGGTCTTTGGCGAGACCGAGCGATGGCGCCGGCGTTTCTAGGTTGTAGACTTCTGGCAGACAGGGTCGGGAAACAAGACCCGGGAGAGGCTATGTAGGACAATGGCTTCATTCGAAGATTCCAGGGAACAGCCCACACTACAAGGCGGGATTAGAGTGAACGTTTGGGGGGGAACACACAAAGGACATTGTCCACAGGATGGAGATATATATCAAGGAGGAAGACGAGGAGGGGACAACAGGGTGGATTTGTTTTTCGGCAAAAGATGCGGTCAAGGAGAGCGGGTCGGTGCGGCGGCAGCCTTCCATCGATCGCTGTTCCTTTTCGCACACACGCATTCGTGGCAGACTGGGCGGAGTGGAAGAAAGTCCCTGGGGCTCGACCGAGTCGTAAGTCGGCCAGATCCATCTCCACGCTCTCTGGGTTTTTTTCGCCCTGGCCATGGATGGTGGGCTGCGCAAACTATACTTGTACACAGGATATGAAATGCAGCTCGCCTCGATCATTCTATCTCCATAGCTTTGCAGCTTGCAGCGGCTACTGGCGTTTCTGCACGATTCGCTTCCGGTGGTCGCGAGGACTTCTGGGGCAGCTGATATCATTGTCCGTACCTGTTTCTCCCTGCTCTTGTTTTCCTTGTTTGCTTTCCCGCCTGAGCTGGAGAGGGAAGGGGGGGAAAAAGAGATGCAGTAAGGGCGGAAAGGATCCAGTTTCCCTAGGGGTCCCATTTCGGCTTCTGGCACTAAAAACGACATGGATAGCTGCATGAGATCGAGAAGGGCGACGGTCGAGGGTCAAAAAAAAGTTGTGAGCGTGACTGTGACTGTGACCATGACCATGACCTTGTCCAGCATCCCAGTTCTAGACAGGTATCGTGGTGTGCCCGGGCCCCGCCGCTCAAGGTCGATGGATCATGGGAGAGGCTTGCATCACGATGGAGCAAGAAAGACCGGCTACACTACCGCTAGTCGGGCGGAGCAATCCATCACGGCGTCAAACTTGGACGGACCCAGGAGGTGGGTTCAGGACTTTTACGAAGGCGAACTAAAGAGCCTGATGGCTTCGAAAGTGGGATGGTGGCATACAAGTTCGTCAGATGTCCTGGGAGGGTTCGTCTGCGCTCGCCGTTGGTGGCAGAAGACTAAGACCAGGCGTGGGTAATGGGACAAGATGACAAGCATACAAGACATGCTCCTCCCGCTGTCGAGTGCTGTCGAGGGATATAGAGAGAGGCGAGATGGTCACAAACAGGACTCACTGACGAGCATTTCCGAGGTCGCCGCAGGTCCAGTCTCGAAATGGGCAACTGGGTGTGGCGGTCGCTCTGGTGTATATTTGGCTCAAAAGGTCAAGAATCTCACCCCATGTCGCGAGCCTCCTTGTTTCATCTCCATTCTTTCCGAGGATCGTCCAACCTGGTCGTTCCCATGCAGACCGACAGTTACACTTTTTAGTCAGAAAAGGGAAACGCCGTGATCTGGAGGGGGTGGAAACGAGGTGGATTGTTTGGAACTGGCTGGATGGCCGGATGGCTGGCTGGCTGTAACAGCAGATGGTTGAGAGCCGAGCGACGGATCCAGGGTAGAAGTGTTGGTTGTTGGGAAGCAGTTTGGAGGTCAGACTGCGAGAGGGCAGAGACAAGAAATTCGCCTTTCTCCTTCTTTCTCCCTTTCTCACTTCACCGCATTGTCACTCGTCTTGTTTTTCCCTCCCAGCAAACTCCGAAACGTCTCCAACCCCGTCTCTCAAATGCAAGCCAGGGCAAGCAAACACCCCGTCCAAGCCCATCCCAAGCCATCCCGCCGCCCACGCAGCTCTTAGGCCGTCCGGGGAAGGCGGGAGAGAGTGCGCTCGGAATCCCACTAGGACAGAGAGGAGTATAGCGGAGCTCCAACAACGCGGAAAAAGCTCTGCGCGGGCTGGAGAAGATATAGGATGCTGGAACACCCGTGTCTCCAAGTCCGTGTCCGCGGGCGCATGGCTCATGGCCCCTTCCATTCGCCCATCTGCACTGGTGCTGTCGTGGCATGTTGCGAGACATTTTTTCCCCTTCTCTCTTACCAGATTTGCAGAGTGAAGCGGATAGAAGCCTCTCGTCTCCCACTCAGCCCCCTTGCTCCCCCACTGGGAAAACGCTAGCTAACTAGTTGGTAGTGCTGTAAGCAGCGACAAGGACCATGGCTGGACCAACGGTCCATAGGGTGCTCGATCAGTACCGAGTCCATCCATTCTTCCATCCAGCCAGTCAGCCAGTCAGCAAGACGGCCCATCCTATCCCATCCCACCGCGCCCATCCTCCACCCAGACAACACCAAGTGCTTCTTCTGTGCGTCACTTTTCTTCTGGTGTCATACATAGGAGGGATCAACATGTAAATCACCCGCACGAACGAAGGGGTTAAAAAGATACCGTACTGGTACGCTACAGCCGGCCCCATTCCTCCTTCTCACGCCAGCTAGGGGGCAGAAAAGAGTGGGGACGTGCTACTGTGTTACGAACCGAGTCAGTGTGCCCCGGAACGATCTGGACTGGATAGGTCACACAAACACGCGCACGGTGTGGGATCTGCATGACTTGTAACATGACGATGCCGACGACAATGCGTCATTATGGTATGCTTTGTATAGCTTCGACATGAGCAAATAGGGCCATCATCGCCATCATTCTGCCAACAATTTATCAGGCGGTGAAAAGCGGTGAGTTCACCGACTATTCCTGCTTTGATGTTGGCCAGCTACCTACGCGCACAATTAACATTCGGGTATCCAGGGGGGAAAGATCCTGCCCGCTGCATGGCATGAATCATAGAGGCAAAACGTGTTCGATTGTTGGCTGCCTTGCATCACAACCTTTTGCTGCAGGGTCGCCGGGCCCAAACCTTACAAGCCTGGAGATGACAGCGCACAAGCTGAGAGGAACCCATCTGCAAATGCAAGGCCGTACGCAAAGCCGAAGACTGGAAGCAAACCTGCTGAGGGCAAACACGTATTTCATACTGCTCTGGCGAGCCGCCTTTTTTCTTTTGCATGGGCAAGTCAGCAGATTAGGAGGTCATGTGCCAAAATCGCCCAAGCATGCAAAGCGGTTGGCCGTTGAGACCGAAGCCAGGTCTTCCTTGTCAGAAAGTCGGCGCCTGGAAACGCCGAAGACAGGACAATGACAATGCCTTTTGTTTCATCACTGGGCGGAGAACAGGTGTTGCAATTCTTGCAGGTCGCCAATGCACCCGACACGAACCTCGTTCAGGTCCTGGCGAACTCAAAAAAAGGGTGCGAGGCACTGCTCGGGGCGTCCCTCTGTGGCGACGGATATCTGGGCCGGGCAACAGAGCAAACAAGGACCGCCTCGGAGCATGAATTGAGGCTTTGTTTGCAACCCAAAAGCTTCAGCCCTTGGCAATGATCAACCCATCCAAATGCCGAACAGCAAGTGGCACAAACTGGCAGTTGGGTTGGTTGTCGAAGTTTCTACCGAGTACCTCGTACAGACATACGAATACCCACCCAACCCACCAACCAACCCCCTTGTCCTCCACTACTGGTACAAGCTACTTGAAGGGAGCTTCCGGGAAGATGTTTCGATCAGCTACGTACCCCTGCCTTTTCCAGCTGGGTCACTTGCAGGCCCCATGTTCATCAAGCGCCCCCTCAATGTCCATCGTTCGTCCATTTTAACTTTAGATCCTGGGCCCGTCGCTCTCTTGCTGAATCGGTTGAGGGGGTTGGTGTGTTTGTCAGTCGTGTCTGCCCAACCCGCGACCAAACGCCCCGTTACATTCTCGATTGGACCGTCCTGTCGGGAATTCTAGAAACGCACCACTCGGCGCCACGCCGCCCAGCGTCCCACCGCCTCCTAGCCTGGATTGGGATCCGTACTGCCAGTATTAGGTGCTCCCAGTAATGACCAAGAACGAGTCGAGTGCATCCCGAAACGAGACGACATGCCAGAGAGATAGGACTTCCACGGTGGACAGAGGGTTGTAACCCTCATCTTTGCTAGTGCCACCTTCTTTCCACTTGGCTGTTCTCGCTTCTTTCTTTAGTTCCTTCGCCAGGAGAGCCCGAAGTTCGAGAGTGGAACAGGGCACCAAGGGCAACAGCCTTGTTGTCTCCATCATCATTTCATCACCACTATTGCTGCCGATGCACGCCCGCCGTGTCCAAGGCTGGCCAAGTGCCAATCTGCAAGTGCCAATCTGGCCCCTACCCGAGCCACGCAGTCACCCTA